TAGATACTTATGTATTGTTTTTGATATTTAAATATTAGCTATCTAACTTCATGTTACGTACCTGTATTATAGTATATCCTGTATCACTCAGTTCCGTTAGTTATTTTATTAAAAAAATCAGTAACACATAAGTATTTATAGATTTAAGTAGTATAAGTATCTTAGGAAAGGGATGGTTTTTAGTCAGTAAGAGTCTGACAGTCCCAATTGCCTCACCTGGGCGAGAGAAGGCAATGGACAACTTTCCACTCTCAAAAAAAAATTTTTTTTTTATAAGTGTCTAACAATTTTTGGATGTCGAGGAAGGTTTTGTTCAATTTAATATGGGGTTTAATTTAGCAACTGGATTTTCTTCTATTGGATATGCACCACTATATATTATGTGAGTATTTAGTTATTTAACAAACACAAATACTTATTTACACACAATAGTACGTTATAATGTTTATTTGTGTGCAATTGCGTACATTACGGATAACAAAACAACGGACAATATAATTATTATAAAATCACCACGGAACTGAATGACACAGGATACAATATACATAATATACGTATCATTAAGTTTGATAGCTATATACTCTTTGATAGTTTTTGTGAAATAAAAAATGTATATAAAATTTTAAATTTTCTAAGACAAGGTAATTTGTAAAAAAGTGTGGGGGAGCCATGCAAAGTGTGGGAGAGCCATGCTTCGGCACGAATGGGCCGGCTCGACCGGAGTGATACCACGGCCTCACAGAAAACCGACGTGAAGCAACGGTTGCGTTGTGTTTCGTCGTATGAGTTAGGTTACCAGACGCCTAATTAACCCCCCTCGCCAGTGAAACAAGTGAAACAAGTGAATTTATTTCTGCAAATAGGCTACAAGGCAGCACTTTTACACGTCAATTTTATCAAGCTAACGATGAGGTCGACATTTCCTAACTGACTACTCTGAGAAGAAATGCCGAAACAAACTCAGAGGTCTGTCTCTTTTAAAGTCCAGACAATAACGATGTATAACAGATTATGTGTGAGAACCGTGCAACTTTCTGTGGTGTCCTTTTGAGGAAAGAACCACAACAGTTTGAGCGAACCCGTTCTGAAGGCAGTACGCATGTGTCCGTTTACAGTCAGCTCAATTAACAGGTGAGGATTACTGATTCGACGAACAATACCAACCTAAAGAACATTTGCGTAGGTCGCACAAATACTCAAACTGTCAGAATATGAGTAATGGGTAATTATATGGGTTTGCTCATTTCCCGAATCTTCCACATTCCTCAAATTCCCAATTCCCTAAAGGCCGGCCGGCCGATATTCCCTAAAGGTAACGCACTTGTAACGCCTTAGTGTTATAAGTGTCCATGGACGACGCCGATTGCTTACCATCAGGTGATCCGATCGTTTACCGTATTATCCCAAAAAAAAAATCCGCCCATATAAACTACAATTCCTATTTTATCTAAGAAAATTACATTTTATTTAATTGTAACATTGTATAAGGTACCATAAACTAATCAATTGCCTGAGTAACGACGTGGGTAATCGTCTAGGTGGAGATAACTAAGTAAATGATTATAAAGGAATTAACGTTATCAAAAGCAGTCCAATGTTTATTGTGTTTAAGTATAAAACGCATTTGCTATGTACTATTGGGTAGTTTCCAGGGTATCAAAATTAAAAATCTAATTAGTCCGTCAATTAGATAATGAACAAATATTAAACACGTATTTTCTAATTTTCTCGTATTAAGTTGCAATACTTAGATAAAGTGGGAGGTTGTTACGTCATAACATGCTACATTTTGTAGCACGTTGTGACGTCACACGATATTTCAAATTAATATAATAATTTTCTATGAAAAAAAATACACTTTTCACTATTTATGTTATGAGTCCCATGTAATAGGGGTGAGCCTATTGCCATATATCGGGCACATTTCCAGACACCGTGCTATGCACCGTGCTGACTACGGCGATTAAAAAAAACCAGTAATACTTTGCCCGACCGGGGAATCGAACCCGAGACCCCTTGCCTGGCAGTCGCACTTGCGACCACTCGTTCAACGAGGCAGATTTTGATCATACCTGCCTATTACTTACAATAATTACCTGTATACGTTTTGAAACAAGTAAATACTTAGGTTCGAACCAGGGCATGACAGTTTCCATGGGTATAAATTGTTATTGTGATTTTGCTGCAGAAATCTACCTAATAGCTTAGCCTAGAACTTACGACTTTATAATCAAACAAATAAACATTATCTTGTTAAGACAGGAGTTGATTAGATCGCAATAATACTGTAGCGAAACATGTAGTGATTAGACAACTATTAGTAATTAATGTTTGATTATAATAATGTGATTGTCATCATTGACTGTTGATGAAGCGAAAGAGGTATGTAAGAGCATAACATGCATAACATCACGCCTTTTTATCCCCGAAGGGGTAGGCAGAAGTGCACATTTCGGCACCTAATGCCACTGTACAATGTAACACCCACTTTTCACTATTTATGTTACGAGTCCCATGTAATAGGGGGTGAGCCTATTGCCATATACCGGGCACATTTTTCCAGACTCCGTGCTACTACTGAGATTTTTAAAAACTCAGTAATACTTTGCCCGAACCGGGAATCGAACCCGAGACCCCTTGCCCGGCAGTCGCACTTGCGACCACTCGGCCAATGAGGGCAATGAGGTATGTAAGAATCATTGCAATTAGCGTTACATAGTCTCTACCTACCCCCATGAGAGACAGGCACGTATGCATATGTCGATGTTGTCATGAGCTTCGGTAGTCATCTTATAATTTTTAAAATCATGGCGTTTTTTGTACTCAACTCGACACCTCTACTTAAGTATTTGTATTCAATGAATATCAAATGGTTTGTTGTTGCAGTGACACAGTAAGTGTGTTAGGTCCGATTCTCGCACAGAAAACCCTCTTTGTATTGTGCATCACTTTTCCAGAAAAAGTTTGATAGTAAATTAATGATGTTATCATAATTACATTATAATTATATTTGAACTCTCGGTTTGTTAAGAAAAAATGATGATGAAAAATGTTAATAAATTATAAGTAAGTACCTAATGCAAATGATTAATCATGAGAGAAATCAATGAATTTATTTAACCCTTTGAGTACCGTCATTATAGACACAATTAAAGAACAATAGGTTGCGATCACCGGTGTCCTCACGGTGTTTGACAGTTTAAATAAAAAAAGAACGTTGCCCCACACTAGAATTTTCTCCTGTGTCGTGTGTGTGTTTACAAACACACCCAGACCCGGAACAACAATTTGTGGATCACACAGAGAGTTGTTTTGTGCAGAAATCGAACCTGCGACACTTTGCGCGGCAGCCACTTGCCTAGCCACCACGCCAACCGTGCAGCTAAACTTCTTATTTATCAATATGAACTTTAATATATACCTCTACAAGGTGTTGTTTTAAAGCCGCGTCGTTTTCTAGGAGGTAACTCGGCTATCGATTTTGAGTCCAAATCAATAAAAAATGGTAGGTATTTTTTTTAATTTTTCTGTAAATTACGCAAATCCGTAAGTGTGAACTACACGCCGCCGTCTTGTAACTAGCTGTATAACGCGGCATAACACACACAAACTCAAACACGTAATTAATATTATTCCTAATTCCATAAAACTCCAATAAGAAGCATTGCAGTCGCTTTTTCTGAAATACTGTCAAACTTAAACGATTTATTATAGCCGTATTTTTAACTATTGGCCCGAAATTTTCTCTTACATTGAACCCATATGACTTCTGTAAGATGCCTCCTAGAAATGACACGGCTTCAAAACTACACCTTGTATAATTGGGCTGTTGGTTTATTGTATTTGTCATTGTTACTGAACTTAATTACGAACGATACAAAAGACGTGGGCTTTAACAACACTCTCCATATAATAATAAATCATCATATATAAGTAATATTGGATGATATAAAGATATATTACAGGAACGTGATATATGAAATTCATCACGCACATATTGGATGTAATACCCACACTTTGCCTCTTCTAACTCTCATATAATATAAGGCTAGTCATATGTCATAATACTATAAATAAATAACATGACATAACATAACATTACGCCTTTTATCCCCGAAGTAGTAGGCAGAGGTGCACATTACGGCACTGATTGCCACTGTGCAATGTAACAACCACTTTTCACTATTTATGTTATGAGTCCCATACCATAAGTGGTGAGCCGTTACCATATAACGGACATAATTCCAAACTCAGTACTATTATTGAGAACTTAAAAAAACCAGTAATACTTTGCCAACCCGGGAATCGAACCCGAGACCCCTTGCCCGGCAGTCGCACTTACGACCACTCAGCCCACGTGTAGTCTAGAGTTGTATACATATAATTATGTATGTATGTATGTAATTGAACCCAAACATTAATAAACTGTCAAACACCTCGAGGACACCGGTGACCGCAACCTATTGTTGTTTAAATGTGTCTATAATGACGGTACTCAAAGGGTTAAGAGGCAGTTATCTAGTATATAAAATAAGTCGGGTTTTCCTTCCTGACGCTATAACTCCAGAACGTACGAACCGATTTCCACGGTTTCGCATTCGTTGGAAAGGTCTCGAGCTCCGTCAGGTTTAAAGCAAAGAAAATTCACTAATCACCAAACGATATGTTACATAAAACGAAGCCATCTGGTGGCGAAACGGAGTTCGCCGGGTTTGCTAAGTAACCACTATAAAAACAAGGTGTAGTTGTAATACTTTTTAACTCTACAAAAACACATAATATCTAAGATAAGCCTACTGGTACCCGGAGTTAAATACCGGTTCCTCTACATTCTTGCATCTAATAGTAAGAAAACAAACAAACAAAACGCTCAAACTATGCACTTACGTACCACGGGACAAAACACCAAATGCACGATAAATAATAATAATAATATCTTAAAAACTTAATCGCAATCAAAAATCAATCTTATAATTATCAGGCAATAAATACCATAGTACCTTTTGTTAGCAATACAACGGAGTGTCGTAGATTTGATCACGGTTTTCCACATTTTAATCACACACACGACCACACCGTTTGAAACTCAGTAACGAACTGATTAACTCGCAACGCTTACGTATTATCATAATAAACACCTACTTATCATACCAGATGATAATATTTAAATATGGCAGTTATCTATATTAATTCTTAATGTATATATATATGTGTATAATACTCTATGAAGGAATTTATATTTATTACTTTTTATTGTGTTATTTTTGACAGGAATCACAGGTTGACGAACGAAAGCAATGCGCAGGAGTGGTTTTGGTTTGTTTTGTTCAGTGAAATCTATGAGATAAGGAGAGAGAAGAATATGTCTTTCTCCATCGTGAGACATACTAAATCAAGTAAAAACGCGGGTTACTCACGTGAATATACTGAGAAAAGCTCTACTAGTTTCGAACCACAGAGGGGTTATTCCTCATGAGCAGCGTGCGCGGTCGCGGCGATGTCGCGCAACTCATGAGGAAGAACCCCTCTGTGGTTCGAAACTAGTAGAGCTTTTCTCAGTATATTCACGTGAGTAACCCGCGTTTTTACTTAATGTCTTTCTCCACTTTGTACTCTCTATAAGCTAAAACATAGTGGTTTTCATCAACCTAATTTCAATTTTCAACCTAATTTCAACAACGTCGTTGGAATAGTGGTCACAAGTGCACCTGCCGGGCAAAGGGTCCTAAGTTCGATTCCCGGGTCGGGCAAAGTATTATTTTTAAAAAAATCTCAGTACTAGCACGGAGTCTGGAATTGTGCCCGGTATATGGCAATAGACTCACACCCTATTACATGAGACTCATAATATAAATAGTGAACAGTGGATGTTACCTTGTACAGTGTCGTAAGCGTGGAATAAACGGCGTGATGTTCAACCTAAAAGTTGACAACCTAACAGAATAGATATGGGGTTAGTTTAGGTCCTCCCTTACGCTAAGTAAGTCTTAGAACTAAGAACCATTAGTCATCTAAATGAATGCACATTTGAAAGTAACAAAGTGACAACCAGAGGCCTTCGAACGAGTTTGTTCTACATTTTAAGTAATCAAAACGAGAGCGAGTTCGGCGCAGTGATTGGATGGTTCATTTGAGCCAGCCAATCAGAGAGTCGAACGCGTACTCGTTATGATTACTAGAAACGGAAACAAACTTGTACTGAGACCTCTGAGCCTAAGTAGTCAGCCACACCGGTCAGCCACTCCAGTCAGCCACTCCGGTCTCTGTCCAACGTCCTTAGTCAGTTTTTACGACACCTGCGGGATAATCAGGGTTCGACTGGTGACAAATGTAACATTATGTTCTGATTTCAACTCACGGGTTAAATAAAAATTCGTGATGATGATAAACTAACTATGATTCTATGGTTTTGGAAACATATTATGAAACCATCCTCCCATTTATAAAAGACTAGCTTTTACTTCCGGCTTCGCTCGCGTCACAAAAGGATAAAAAGTAGCCTATGTGACATATACCAATATATACAGCGCCATCTATACTAATACTTTTGTTTTCCTTCGGAAATTTCAAATTTTTTCGGGATAAAAAGTACCCTATTATTTAATCCAGACTACTAACTTTACGTCTGCAAAAATTCAATGCAATCGGTTTAGTAGTTACGGTGTGAAGTCGGAAGAAACAAACAAATAAACAAACTCACTTTCCGATTTATAATATTAGTATAGTAAGGATGTATAGACTTGGAGGTAGAGATTTTAAAACCAAGACGAATAAGAAGGTACATATGTAGATAGTCCACTGAAAAAATTGAAAATATCGTTTGTTGTAACAAACATAATTAATAAATATACAAATCCATGAAAAACGGAGTGAAACACAAATTAATCTCTATAGTAGCGCGGTTATCGAACCTACAATACGTTGCGCAGTCAATCCAATCACTGCACTGACCGTGTAGTGGTTAGCCTACTCAATGGGACTAAGGTACGTATACTGTGTAAAACTGTAAAGTTTGAAGCAATCGTTTTCAAGTCATCAGGAACTGAAAGATCAGCAATCAAAAGAACCGTAACTTGCACGATCCGTCAAATATAAAAAGACCTTACCGACCGAAGATCTCCTTCTACCTCCTCCACCAAAGAGCGAGGACCTCCTTAGCTTAACCCGAGCTGTAATGAAGCTCCATATTTTGCACTTACGTAAGGACACCGCGCTTGTATAAATTACTAAACAAATTATACGTAACATAACGGACCACGGTCAAGTCTTTGTATTCTTTTTGGTATCTGATCTTGGCGATGGCTGAATCGAGGCCGCGCGCCTGCCGCGCCCCCGCGTCCCGCCACCCGCCCCGCACCGGAAGTGGCGCGTGGGGCGCACGCGACGCCACCCCTCCCCCCTCCGCCCCGCCTCGCACACACCGCTACCCTCTGTGACGAAACATGCAAATTTAGCCGACCTCCTAAGGCCACGATACAGATCTTGGTAGGTGAAAATGCGTTACAAATGTATTTTCCGCCTTCCTGTTCTCTCTAACAAGGTCGCGAGGTGAAAGATCTAGGTGATCCTTTGCTATATATATATATTTCATAATTACGACGCATTAACCTTATTCTCAACTTTATTATGAAAATAAATCCTTATGGGTGTACTCTGAATGTGTCGTTTGATGAAAATTACGAATTAAATTGAAACAGAAAATGTATTGGTTCCCTGTTTCTTTGTAGGGCAGAGTTCGAACGCTGAAACCGTTAAGTCATCGGGCACTGACTTTGCTATTTAATTTCATTACTAAATTGCAACACCTTTGACATATCGAGTGTATCATATCATAGTGGGTTAGTTACAGTTGAACAATGCCACTATACAGAATATTGAACCCACCTTTCGCTAAAAGATTAAAAATTAATAAATAAAGACTATTAGCGAAATTAAATATGGACATCGTTTCTTTTACAAAATAAAAGGAAAATTTTACATACACAGAATAATGTCATATTTTCTGTGTGTTTGCCATTACATTCGGCTTTCTTGAGTTCTAAGATCTTCTACTGCATTCTTTAAACAGATACTGCGGCAGAAGAAGTATATAAATTTATTGCAATTTGTTATAGTAATATTGAGGTTATTTTATAAAGGTTCTTGACAAAAAAAGGGAAAAGAAACGGGAGTTTATCAAAAAGTAGGGATCAATGGTGATAGAATAAATGGGTCAATGCATGGGACGCTCTGAGACATCGCTCGTGGGAGTTTGTTTGTAAATCCAGCCGGGCGCACCGTCGCCTTTATTTACTCAAAGCATGCAAGAAATCGGCTGGCGCTACGCAATCGTGCCGCAGTCATGCTCCGCCCGCCCAACGAATAACATACTCGGAGAGCTCGAGCCATGGCCGTTCGTGATACCTTGTGTAGTGCCTCGTAAATGTGATACTGTTATGTGACTATGTCTCAGGCCGCCGGCGGCAAGAAAGGAGGCAAAGGCCCTCCTAAGAAAAATGCTGATGAAGACAAGAATCCGCCGGCTAAGGCCGCAGATGACGCTAAAGATGAGACTTCTTCCAACAATGGTGATAAAAAGGAAGTTAAGGAGAGCAATGGGACGGAGAATGTGGTCAAGCCTCCAAGTGCGGGGATTAACATCAGGGAGGTGGCTGCTAAGATCCTTATGCTGGCGCAGAAAGGAGAATGGCCAGCCGTGGAGCAGACGCTCAAGGTTTTGGAGAAGCTGGTGGCAGCAGGTGGCGAGGATGCCGTCTCCGTGCCCATGGCTGGGATCCTAGACCCGGTAAGGTTCTTTTTTATGCTGAAAATTAAGCATCTTCTGTCAGAGTTTTTGATAAAAAGCTCGGAGAATCGAGACTCAGTCGCGCTTTGTTATTATTTGAATGATGGTTCTACATATACGTCTAATGCTGTTGATGCTTAACAGAAGCTCCATGAACAGTAATTATTTCATAAGAGGGTTATCACAAAATGAGCCGGTTTCTATGGTTTCTGGTCGACGCTTGGATTGTAGTAACTAAGTGACTTTTCATCCTACGTGACCTAAACGCCAGTGTCTCGGCATTATCTTCATTAAGTTCTGATTAAGTTCTGTTAGGGATACCATGATTCTTCTACGTTAAAAGATTTCAGAATAGTCTTCATTGACCTGTAGTGGAAATACTTATAATCTTATCGTTGCCAGACAACAAACGTAATCAAGAAATACTTGGACGGAGTCTCCAAGTTTCTTATATCTAATTTTTGAGTTTTCTTTTATGTATTTTGTACAGAGTATCAATTAAAATGGAGTCGGTACGCGCGGAATTCTTGACACCTTCATGCGTGTTGAACATGAATTTTAATCATACTTTTCCCTATTTATTGTGGTAGTGGACTTAATTAATGCTTATTATTATTACTATTTTACCTGAATTACATTTTAATCCAACTAGTTATGGTCTGAATTTGAATGACTGTGACATCTTTATGGCTTAAAGTTCCATTTATATCCATTACGATTATTTCAACGTTTCTGCTAACCCCTGTTCAAATAACCAGTGGCTTCTATACCGCACTTTATTATAATATAAGAATGGCCTTGTTTTAAGTCCAAATTAATTCCAGGTACACCTATTAGAGATGTCCTTCATATTTTTGTTAACCGCGTGGTCGGCAAAGGTCTTATACTTAGTGGTGAAACCTTCAACCTTCTTAGTTCACTCGATAACGGCTCCCCCATAATCATTACTTTTATTAATCAGCTCTTGTAAACTTTTATTAATATGTATAAGGAATAAAACACTTATTTGAGTGCATACAAATGCTGTAGTATTATGTTTCATTCGGTAGAACATGTGATATTTTTTGAGGTGATCTTATCTATTCTCTTCTCTTGGATATTTACAGAAAATTAACACATGAGTACTTAAACCATGCCCGTCTTGTGCATTGGATATGAAACTCTGTCCTCAGAAATAGCGCTTGCGATCACTCCACCAATGAGGCAGACATTATATTACCAGTGTTATTACATTTTCCTATAGAATTACATGGAAATGTCGTGAGAAA